GTGTCTCATCGGATGCGCTTTTTGTATTTTTTTACGGCAGCGCTACCGGGCATTGTCTGCGATTTTCAGCCAATCTGCCAGTCCTTTTGCTCCGATTTAGGCATCGGGTGTTTAAAATTGAATTTTGAGTAACGAAGAAAATTTTTACCTCTCTTAGTGGTCGAAAGTGGCTCCGACACAGCAGCGGCGGTGGTCGGCTTCCTTCCCGGCGACTGGGTCTTCTTCTCCGTCGAGAGAGTCTGGCGGCTAGGGTTAGGGTTTGGTGTGAAAATGGTTATTCATATTATTCTCCTTTTAATCTAGACCGTTCATCACATTTTATCTAGACCATCTGATCGCGATTAAATAGGAAGTGAATTTAGCACGTTTATCGCGATTTAATCTGCGTTGTCCAATCGCGTTTAAATAGAAAGTGGATCTAGACCGTTCATCACATTTAAATCTGACCGTTCGATCGCGTCTGGGGAGGGAACGATTCGGACCATCCGTACGCGCGGGAACAAATCTGAACCGTCAGCGTTCCTTGCCACGCGGCGCGCTCCGGTTTGTCGGATATTCTGACTGAGTGTCCTACGTGGCACAATTTTTTTAAATTACGTTTCGATCTCCAATTTTTAAATTTTCTTTCAAAAATAATTTTAGAACCTAAATTTTCACTCCATTTTTTACAAAATTATTTTCAATTTTATTCTCTATTTAATTTTCTTCATTTTTATATCAATTAATAATTTATAAAATTAAAAATTAAATTTTATACATTAAAATAAAAATTTTAAAAATTCAAAAATTATATATATAGAGTAATTTTAAATATTTTAAAATTAATTAAAGGTATTACAGATCAAGCTTTAAAATAACAGAAAATACTTTTTTGGTGTAGCAGTGAATGCAAATTTAGGAAGATCGGAAAGGAATTTGGAAGGGGAGAGGAGTTAAGTTTGGGCTCATGGCCCATTGTTGCCTTTGACCCTACCGAACAGATAATCTCTTAATCCTGTGGAGCTGGACCCACCACGTGTCATCTCCTTACAGGGTCCACATAGTCCTTGTGATTGGCCATCCACCCTTGATTTAGTTCATCAATCTGTTAAAGCCTAATCGACTAATTTAGGCCCTCCTTATATATATGTATACATATAATATATACCATATTTATCCCCACGAGTTAGTGAGAGAGTAATAGTATCAATCCTTCTGTCTCCCTTTTGTCTCTGCATACCTTTTCTTTTCCTTGTTCTTACTCTGTTTTCTCTTTCCATTTTTTTTCTTTTTCTTTGCGGTTCCTATCCGCTGTGCTTCGATGGCTACGATTCAAAAGCAAGAGCTTGAAGAGGACGAAGACAGGATAACCGTTGATCTCAGAATCAACGGCGGCGGAGATGCAGTAAGGAATAATATTCGCGCCAGACAAGACTCAACCACCAACTCCCCACCACTTGCACCAAAGGAAGAGCCGGACTTGGAGGATAGGTCGCCGTCGTCGAGAGGAATGATGCCGGTATCCGTACACGTTCCGGCGGCTATTCCTATGCCTTTAGCGTCGGCGCCACAGCATCCCCGGCCAAAGAGGGCATCGACGAAGGACCGGCACACGAAGGTCGAGGGTCGGGGCAGGAGGATCCGAATGCCCGCAACTTGCGCTGCTCGGATCTTCCAGTTGACTCGTGAACTCGGTCATAAGTCCGACGGGGAGACGATAAGATGGCTCCTTGAGCACGCCGAGCAAGCCATCATAGCCGCCACCGGAACCGGCACTGTTCCTGCTATCGCCATGTCGGTGAATGGGACTCTCAAAATCCCCACCACTACCAACGCCATCCCGGAACCAGGGGACCAACCCGCAAAGAAGAAGCGTAAACGACCCGCTAACAGTGAGTACGTGGATATAAACGACCCCGTTTCTATTTCCTCCGGTTTAGCTCCTATCACCGCTCCGGTTGCTGCTACGCAACAAGCACTGCCGCAAGGGTTGGTTCCTATGTGGGCCATACCATCAAACGCTGTCGTTCCAGGTGCGTTCTTCATGGTACCACCCATGGCCACCATTGCTGGACCTTCCAATCAGCCTCACATATTTACATTCCCTGCAACAGCTACGCCTCTTATCAACATTTCTGCCCGACCCATATCGTCTTTTGTTTCCGCCATGCAACATGGCGCTAACATAGCCGCCGGTCCTGTTCATGTTCAAAGTAATCCTATGACTTCGTCTTCTACAGTTTCCGGTTCAAAACCAGCCAAAAAGACGTCAGTTATGGCTTCTAGTTCAACGTCCGCCATGACAACTACAAGTACTAGTGGTACTGCGACCACTCGGATGCTAAGAGACTTTTCCTTGGAGATTTACGACAAGCAAGAGTTGCAGTTCATGACTCGGTCTTCGAAGCATTGACAAAATGATTGCTTCTGCTTCCGGGTGTTTCTCTGGCTTTCTGATTATGGCGTGAATTCTTTCTACACCCGCCATTACCGTGCGAGGTAGAAGCTGGAAATGAGAAATCTGAAACCTCCCCGTATGTGGGGAGAAGGAAGGAGCACGTGGTCACGTGAGGGGAGATTTAAAGGTGCGCACGTGTAAAGAGGGGTAGGATTAGGCGGAGGTGGGGTCCACTGAGTGGTGGGTCAACACTCAACGCTCAACAAGAA